TACCACTAAATTTTTAAATATATTCCTCCATTTGGGCTGCTTTATGTTGACTGGGCTCATAAAGAAAAGAAGAAAAAAAAGAATCCAGGCATGTTTATGTTTAAGACATTTAAAATATTTCAGTTTACCTGTAATGTAGCCATATGCCATTAAAGAATTGCTGACAATAATCCTGTTCTCTGGAAACTTTGAACTTCTGATAACTGGGTGTTCCCCTATGAATAACAAAGAAAACTAGTTTAACAGTGTATTTACCTCAACTGCACAGATGTTCTATATAAAGTGAACTGTATGGTGTACTGTCACCTTTTTTGGTGCTCTGGTTAGGAACTGAGGTAGTTTGGAAACTGCTGGGATCAGCCTCCTTGAGTAAACTTTGCGGAACTGAAAAAAGGCCCAGTACAAAGAGTTAAAATCTTCCAACTCCCAGGATCCTTCAATGCAGGGCTGATGAGTAATCTTTATTTTTCCTGTGAACTGATCCTGCCTTCCAATCAGTAACATAAGACTGGCATTCAAAGCAATCACAGGAAGTTTTACAGGAAGCCCCGAGGCCTACAAATGCCAGGCTCTTTCCCTATTTTTGTTTCCAAACAACTTTTGTATCCATTGTAATTTATGAGACGGGAAGAAAACAGATGGGTAAATCAACAATCTGAGATGAGACAAAGGCCACGTGTTAGTCTTTTCCCACACTCTCAATCAATGATTTAAGATTTCTCAAACTGATTAAAGATCTGCCTTGCCGTGAAGATGGCACGCCATACTGTAACTGTATTCAGAACATTCAAGACAGTTAAAAAACACATTCAAACAGATTTTGCTTTGGGAAGATTTTGATGGAAATGAGAGCATTCATACCGCATGCATAGAGGACAGTGATATACTTTTTTGTTCCAGGAGGGCAGGGGTTTTTGAAATGTTCCTCATCTACGGTAAACAAACACCTCCGTTTTCCATAGCAAATGTTGGATACCACATCAACGGCTCCGTGAAAAAGACATTCTGTAATATTAAAGAGATTTTTTTTTTAAATGTCTCATTATCAAGTACCAAACTACAAAAATAAACAAAATGTGCTCAAAATTAAAACAGAATTTTATAATATATTACAATAGATTCAAACATATTCAAATGTCCACTTAAATTAGACTTTTTTTTTTTTTTTACTCATTTAACAGCAAATTGTCTAACTGCAAAGCCTAATTTTATATAATAATAAATGTAAATCTTACTATCTTCTAAATCTTACTAACTAAATCCAAAAACGTACCAAATGGTGGAGGTTCTTGTTTCTCTGATGGGCACAAGTCTTCATCTTCCAGCTGTCTTCCATAAACAGCAGAGTAGATATTCAGCACTTTTGGATACTTGCAGTGCAGCAAAAGTCGATCTCCCTCACATGTTATTCTCTTCTTGTGCTCTGCTGTAAGACAAACATCTTTACTGCTGTACAGGAGTAAATAATTGAAGAAGAAATAATCAATTAAAGCTTTAAAGGAGGAAATACTTACTAGGTTTACACCTGTATGATACATGGAGGTATTTAGGGGTTCCAGGACAAGGATCTCTGCCAAAGACTTGATGATTAACCAGAAACTGGCAATTTCTATGACCCTGGCATTCAGAGAGCACTTTCTAACAGAGCGAGAGATAATCAAAAACCATAGAATGTGCATTATACAAAAGGTAGGGAAAATGTAGTAGCCTTGTCCTGATTCTGGAAAACACAAAACCTATCTTTTATGAGCCAGAAGTAAGTAAGATTGGCTGCCAGAGGAGTCTTGTCTTACAACATCTTAGGTCTGTTTTCACCATGGGACTATTGAAAAGGTACTAAAACAGCTTTATTAAGTGTTTAGTGCATGTAAAATGAAAGGTCTGTTTTTTTTGTCTGAAAGCAAAGCACAGACTATTCACCTGCAGCGCTGTGGTAGCAGAACAGCTGTGATTACGCCATTGGCATCTCATTCCTGGCACGATCCCGGGAAGGGTTGCACTCTGTCCATAAAATGCAGACTGAATAGTTATGGTGGAGTGTCGTGGACACCTGAGGAGCAGGAGATCTCCATCACAGGCTTGAGCTGATTGACTGTTGATGATCCTAAACAGATAATCTAACGAAAAGGTGGAGAGGTTGGATCTATAATAAGTTATTAAAAATTTGTCAATTATTTAAATCAATTATAATAAATTATGTGGATGTTTTTATATGATATTTTTAGAGCCATTCAATTAAAAGCATTATTGTGAAAAAAAAGTTAGCTTATCAAACCATCATGAATCCAAAAATGTGTCACTGACCATACATGTAAGTTTATGTATCAAAAAATGAATATACTTTTTTAAAATACTGTTTAAATTATTGTTAGTGAAGACTTCAACCATAATATTTGCACTTACTGTAAATCATTATATTATTGACTCACTTGAGAAATCGGAGAGTCCGTCCATTTCTTTGGTCCACAGTATGAGAACACTGTAAAGTATTTGAACACATAGCGCAGGTGCCCGGCAGCTTCTCAAGTGCTGCGCTGAGATCATGTTCAAATCCTTCACTTATTTCTGCATTCAAGCGCGTGCTGTAGAAACGCTGTCTCTCTCTCTCTCACCTGCCAGAGAGTTTCACCCTGCTTAAAGTATGTTTTCATACCGCGACTTTGACATCCCAGTTCTTTCAAGCCAAACTCTAAGAAAGCGAACCCCTCGAAATCGTTTCTCCCTCGATTAAAGAGAAATCAGAGGATATGACACAAAAAGCAAACATTTCAAAGCGACGCATGCAGTCAACTGAAGGAAGCCTATAGGGAAATAACAAGTGCGCAACAAGTCAGTGGTGCCTGAAAGCAGCGACATTCGCACTATTCAGTCCATTGCTGATGATTTTAGGGTCCTTAGTGAGACAACAAATGGTAATAGGTGGTTTCTTGGCACGCAGAAAGTGATTTTTGAGGAGGATGTTAAGGTAAAACCATGGGAAAAACTCATTTGAACGGGGCGTGGCGGTGAATGCCTCAAATAGGCAGTGCGGTGGAGTTGAGAATAACTGACAACAGTATTGTAACCAATCTGATTGAAATGCATTCACAGTAATATCATTAATATTATTAATAATTAATAATATTTCATATAGTCATTTAAGCGGCTTTGTCTTCGAAGCCAAACCTTTTTGGACTATTAAACCTTTATAAAATTTATATATAGTTTAAAAATACCGTTCCTTCCAATAAATATTTCGTTCATGTGTGTGTGTTTGTGTTAGAAATGTATTTATTGTCTGTTTGGTCATGTTTATAATATTCTAAAATCGAGCCTCACACGATGAAGTGAAACTCCGTTGCAGCAGGGGACGCTACGCGCTTGTCATTTTATCTACACTCACTGCAACACCGCAGAAGTAGAGCTGCCCGCGTACGTTTGAAGACGTTGAAAATATATATTGAATTGAGCTATTTTGATATTCCGTCTGAAATGGCAGGCAAAATTAAAGTTGCGGATGACTGTAGCTATAAAACATACTCTGTCTGCGAGAGTGCCGCTGATAGCAGCAGCAGAGTGGAGGAAGATGGAGAAAGCGACGGTCCAGCGGTGTTTATGTGCTGCAAATGCAAGCTGCCCATCGGCGACAGTCTGTCCTGGTCAGGCAGTGACGACGAGCATAACCAAATCATGCTCAAACGTAAAAGATTATTATGTTTTTATGGCTCTTGTCTGTAAAATGCTGGTTATAACTTGATGTCTTGGGTTGATATACGCTACTATTCAAAAGTTTGAAAGGAATTAATACTTTTATGTACCAAAGACGCATTAAATTGACCATGGGTGACAGAGAAGACATTTATAATGCCACAAAAAACTATTTTAGGGAATTGTCGTTTTTTAAAACTTTCTGCTAATCAAAGAATCCTGAAAAAATGTTTCCACAAAAATATCACGCAGCAAAAACTGCTACAACACTGACAATAATAAGAAATGTGTCTTGATCAACAAATGACCATATTAGAATGATGTCTGAAGAATCATGTGACACTGAAGACAGGAGTAATTTAGCTTTGCCTCCTAGAATAAAAAAATTATATTTTAAGAGATTAAAGTACAAAACAATATTTTAAACCGTAAAAATATTTAATACTATTGCTATTTTTAGTGTATTTTTGATCAAGTAAGTGCTAGGTGAATATAACAGACTTTTTCATAAACATAAACTTTTGAATGGTAGTGTTTACTATCTGTTGACTCATGCATTTCGAAATATTGTGATTTTAGTTTTGGCTTTGCATGCATTCGTTAAAATAGCATAATACAACTGTGGGTAACAACAGCTTAAACATAAAAAATATTTTTTAACGTTTTTTTAGGGATCTCTGACAATGTTGTCATAGGTAAAGAGCCCTTTGTTTCTGGTACCCGAAAGGAGCTTGGATGGTGAGATATGTTTTATTTATTTATACATGTGTGTAGAATCATACATGTGTTTTTCCACCTAAACATGAAATCAATGTCTCTGAAAATTTGTCTCTCACATTCAGTCTTGTTGTGAATCTCACCTGCCGTGGCTGTTGCTCAGAATTAGGAATCATGTACATATCAACCCCAAAAAATCTTGATTACAAGAGATCTCTTTTCTGCTTTAATGTTGAAAATATTGAAAGGTAAGTAGCCTATTGTGCACAAGCCTGTGCAATGTTCATCGTTAGTCTTTTTTATAATCACATTCACTTTTGTGTATCACACTGAGGACAAGGTTGTGTCTTTCTGTAGTTATATAGTCGGCGGTCCAGGACAGCGGGTGCCAGAATTAGACAGAGAAGACAAACCAGTGACCCTGGAGTACCAGAACATTGTGGAACAGCAGATGACAGAGGTAAAGTAGCCCTTCTAGAGACTGTTTAAATTATTGATTTACGAGCATGATGCAAACCGATGTAAGTCTCTCTCTGTTTAAAAATAAGCAATTTCTTTTGCACTACAAATGCATAGATTAATGGCAATATTGAATGTGTAGAGAATATGACAAAAAGAATATTTGATATCAAACTTTATTAGGGGAAATTATTTGAACTTAAAAACAATAGAACCTGAATTTGTAATTGTTTTAATTTGAATTTTTCCTAAAATAATTAATTCAAAAAAAAAAAAAAACATGTTCCAGTATAGGTGAGGTACACAGAAGTAAATGGAATTAAAGCTGTTGAAAAAGGTTATCTGCTTTTTTTGTGTGTTTTTTAACACGCACAAGTAAACAGCAGATGGCGCTCTTACGGTGCTTCCAGAGCTCTTTGTTTGGTCACTGAGTCCGCAAACAATAGACATTAGGATCTGTTGAAGAATTTGATCTAGAAAGGGTGTTGACAGTTATGTCTGTTTGTGATTGTTAATGTTTTAATTTCATATTCCTTGTCTGTGTGCTTGTCAAATAAATAAAATAGAACTTCTGACAAGATTTACAAGAGGATTCCTGTGGGTGAATCCTGTGAATTAATAATTTTCCAGATATTATGTATTTGTGTTTTGTGTTCTGGCAATTAGTTTTTTTAATAATTTTATATATGTATATATATGTGTGTGTGTATATATATATATATATATATATATATATTATATATATATAAAATTAGAAAACAATTGCGATTTTGTAATACACACACACACACACACACACATATATATATATATATATATATAAGTCCTGCAAACAATAGATATTAGGAGCTGTTGAAGAATTTGATCTAGAAAAGGGTGTTGACAGTTATGTCTGTCAGATATTTTCATGTTTTAATTTCATCTTCCTTGTCTATATACTTGTCAAATAAATCAAATAAAAACTTCTGATAAGATGATTCCGGCTGGTGATATTGAAATGTCTTCTCTGAATGTTGGGAATGAATGTTTTAGTAATTTTCCAAATATGTATTTTGTACTTTGTGTTTTAAACAATTACGTATTTAAACAATTATGTGTTTTAATCATGATTTATATTTATTTTTTAAGCAAGATTTTACACTCATGTTCTCTGGTTTCTGTCTGACCTCCTATTCTCTAATGTACCTTTCAGATAAAATCTCTAGCTGTGATAATAGGACAACGCCTACTGGAGATTGAAAATAACCTCCAGTGCAATTCTGGAAAAGGATATGAGCTGTCTGTTTTATGACTGAGGGTAATAATCCCATGCATCTGTTGTGAATGAGGTTTGTGGACTCTTTAGTGTGAGATAGTTTTGTCTAGACAGTTATGTATTTACTATACAGTTGAATGCAAGTGATACATTTGTACCATTTCCTACCTTTTATTAATGTTAAGCTCCACACATTCTAAGAGATGTAGAAGTACAGTACATAGATTTTGTGACAATTGTATTGTTATTTGAAAGCTGCTGTACTCTTACTGGAGAACATGTGTTTGTCTGCATCTCATATTTTGTCATGTGCGAGCGATCCTTGTGTTGTTGTCATATGTGATGTTAGTCTTTACAAGATGTATACACAGGGTAAACGTGTACAATAAATATAATGGTAAAGCAAAACACGTGTTGTTGTTTTTTCCCTCCTCTTGTTTATTTTTGATACTTCATCATTTGCATCAAAACATCCCTGCCCAACCCTCTGAACAACTGGTTAAATAATAAGTGGATGGCGGGAGAAGGAGGGGGCATGTCGCCTCAAGCCATTTTTTTTGTTTACAGTTCCTGTCTAATGTGCCTAGCAACACTTTACACCAGGAGGCGGGAAAAGACTCGTAGAGACCCTGAAGACGCGCACCCCCAACCCTCAAAGCTGGGGTAGCATAACAACAGCGGCTGATAGAATCCGCGCACCTCGGACCAACCAGAGAGCTGTAGCTAAGGGCCATGCTGCCATGGAAACAAAGCACACATGCTGTCGCTAGAGCCTGTTGCCATCGCATCCGTCGTTTCCTTATTTGCCGGCTCCATCTCCCGTGCCAGTAAAGAGTTCTTCATTCTTGTGCCTTTGAACTCCTACGTTCTGCCTGTAAACCCAGTAGAGTTAAAAATAGGGACAAGAGGTAAGACATGCATACAGCACATGGTATTATAGCATCATGTTTACTGCTTGTGTCATGTCTACATGTGGCAAAATAGCCAATTATATCTGTACTAGTTAATGAGGACTCATCTCAGTAAAGACCGGATTACACCAATAACAATAAACGATATCTGTATCAGGGTTTACACCAACGGACAAGAATTTTCTGTTAATTTAAGGGTTTCACAGACTAATCTTCTAGTCCAGTGGTTTTCAATCCTAGTCCTGGGGGACCCACCGCTCTGCACATTTTGTATGTCTCCCGGGTGTTTTTACAACTAGTTTGTTTGAGCCCTCCAAATGCTCTCGGAGCAGTTCAGCGCCTATATGTGAACAAACCAAGTGATCTCAGACCCCCCCTAAAAGGACCCAAAAGCCAGTGGTGTAATGTAATGAAGTAATAATACTTTTGTTACAGTACTTAAGTATTTTTTGGGAGTATGTGTACTTTACTTGAGTTTTTATATTTCAGCCAACTTTTACTCTTGGGTCTGGCACTTGCAAGTTAGGCTCTGTCCCAAATGGCATCCTAAACCCCCGCGGTCTTCTGCCTTGTCCAAATACCCACACTTGCGGTCTTTGCACTTGACTACTTATATGTCGTATTTCCTGTATTTGGTCCAAGTGTTCAAGTGAGCATGAAGACCACAAGTGTGTGTGTACAACTTTTCATTACTTGATGGGACACACTTATAGTGTTGTAAAAATGCAAGTGTTTACAGAGCTTTATTTTTATTTTCAAACCTTTGCATTTTAAAATCAACTTCTAAATGTCTGTTCAGTGTCTCTTTAACAGATGACAATTTAATTTTGTGGTGCTTCTAATTAAATGATAAAAAGCAGTTGCAAATGTACAAAATAAATATCACCACTACTCATTTGCACCAATAAAACGTGCAATCCTTTGTTTTAGTACCAAATTATATATAATATCTAATTATCATTACTATTTAACATACATTGGAAAGGTTTCCGTGACCTCTCGCGAGATCTCTGCAAAAAGTTTCACGATTTATTTCCAGAACATGATGCATGATGGGATACACTAAGCCTCGAATACCGCTCCGGAGCGGTATTCCAGATAGTGTGGATTTAGTGTGCGTTAAGGGCACTAGTCTGGCGTTTTTAAGACCTGGGACAGTCTTCCGCGCACGTGCTCTCAAGTGGCCAAGACCGCAAGTGTGGGTATTTGGACAAGGCATTGGACAAGGCAATTCTCTGAGTCCGCACTTTCGTGATGTAATGCCGCTTTGACTGTCGGGTAGAAGTATGCTGCGGAGCTTGCACCAGTGCGGGCTCAGCAGAAGTGCGGATCGAGGGCGCATAATGGCCACAAAGGCGGCGCTCGCGAGCACCCTTCTGAACGCTAAAATGACAAATGGGGGACAAATGTCTCGTGGACTTAAAGGGTTAGTTCACCCAAAAATGAAAATTCCTTCATTCATCTTCGGAACACAAATTAAGATAATTTTGATGGATACGCTGTTTCCTTTCAGATCAAATCACATCAATGTAGGAAACAGATCCGGCATGACGCAGCTGACACAGAACAGCATACTTGTTTACGTCCAGCGGATATTCTCCAAAATGGCACCAGGGTGATGCGGAGGAGACGCATTGTTTTTTTCTTTTCTTTTGCGCACAAAAAATATTCTCATAGCTTAATATAATTGCGGATGAACCACTGATGTCACATGGATTATTTTACAGATCTCCTTGCTACGTTTCTGGACTTGGGAACATTTCAGTTGTATTGCTGTCGCAAGCTCTCATATTCCATCCAAAATATCTTAATTTGTGTTACGAAGATGAACGAAGGTCTTACGAGTTTGAAACAATAAGAGGGTGAGTAATTAATGACAGAATTTTCATTTTTGGGTGAACTAACCCTTTAACGGACACGCGCACGAGGCCATTCACATGTCGCGCCTAAAAACGTGTGGAAAATGCTAGGCGCGCCACTTTCTGCTTTTTTTCAAAGCATTCGGGCGCTTGCGCTCAGGAGGCGTCTGCCGTTGCTAAGCAACCATGACCTGCACTCTCAATGAAGATGCGGAAGTTTCAGCAAAGGATAAATGGATTTGCAGCACTAAAAATCACTTGCAGTAGCTCTGCTACTAAATTTATTTAAAAATGGCTATCCCTGTACAGCTATGATCAACTGTTCCTTCATCTTGGCTGAGCTTTCAATGCTGTTACGGGAAAGGATGAAGTGTAACGGAGGCCAGCGAGTAGGTGCTGTGCAGGTAAACCTCACTCCCCTGATCTCAAGAGACTCATTTTAGACGGCAAAATGCTTCTGTATGCTTTTTGTATTTATATAATTTAATATAGTTAACTTAATCTATATCACACAAAGAGTGCCGTTTTTCCGCAGATATCAGCATGATAACTAATTTAATAATCATTTGATACAAGTTCAGTAAAGTTAGCAATAAGTGACTTACATTTTAGACACGATTTTGCTTTGTTTCCTAATTTTGCCAACGAAAATAGTTCCAAACAAAGATCAGAGCACTGTTTTGTGTCTCTGAGCAATGGACGGTGTTTACTTATTGAATGAATCAGCTTTTTGAACGAATCAGTTGATTAAATGATTCAGTGATTCACTAATTAACAGTCAAATGCTTTGTTCCTGAATGAATCAGCTGTTTGAAAGAATCGGTTGAATCTTAATGACTCACTCATTAACAGTCACTTGCTACCACCTACTGGCGGTTTTAATTTCACATTTCAACTATTTTTTTCATGTTTTAAATCATTTCAAATATCAGTATTCAACGTTTTATGTTAAAAACACAACATTATTTATCCATCTGTAACTGCTGGTTAAATGCATCCATGTCCCCTCTGAGCTACATTAAACTGTGTAAATACATCTACTTGCGGTGGTAGCTGGTTGGAAAATCCTCCTATTACCCATGGCACAAAAATGGTCTACTACATGCGACAAATAACAAATAATGTGTGATTTTTAGCAATATTTTTTTATTTAGGCCTATTGAAATTCATTTTAATTATATAGGCTACTATTATATTTAATTACATACTCCTATTATGCATTGTAAATTATGCAAAATGACAGCATTTAAATGGTAGAGTTCTCCTTGCTTTTTCATGTAGTGTCTCTCTCAGTGAATGGGTTTTTATACAGTCTATGGTAAAATCTATATATTGAATAATATGTATCAAATAATGTTCTTTGACTTTTCTTCCTGTGGGGAAACATCCCAGCCAGAAACTACAATAGTTTCCTATTAATTAAATGGTTTTTAATTAAATACAATTGATTGTGTTAAAAAAAAATTTAACTTGTGATTTTTAATTATAAACAAGCTTGAAATACAACTGGACTCTTATTTTGAAATGTCTATACTATTGCGGGCTGTTCCTTCAGATGAGGTGATAAAATATGCATTAAATCATGCTTACAACCGTCTAAAATATAATATATAAAGGTCATAACGTAGTGTCATAATTCATCAACTCGAGTTCATAAGCAACAGCTTGGCATAAAGGTGCGCTATTCATTGATTGAGAATCACTTTGAAGCAGTCTGAAGCGCCACCTTGTGACACTGCAACGTGCAGCGCTCTTTTTTTATGAAATAGCCTTTTGAAGTTTAATAATCAGTAGGTTGTATCGCGATTTGTTTTTCCATCCCAAAATATAAGACCTCTTAAAATGATCATTAAGACGTTTGTTTTACCGTTTCATTTATTGAAGACTTTTTATGACATTAAATTTAAGAAAACTCACCCGGAGGGATTTTGCTTTATTTGCACTCGTGCTCCTAAATATATTTTACAGTTCGCACACATCTATTTTAGTCGCAAATGCGACTGAAGCGCCCGCACTGTCGAGCCCTGTGTTTGTCTGTGAAATATCCACAGCGTCTCTGCAGCGCAGCGCACGGGAATGCCAGCGGGAGGAAACAGTTCTCACGCACACAGAACGAGCAGATACGAAACATGTAGGGCGAGGGGTGATTTTCCACTTGTTAATCGATCGCGGATGGTTTCATTATTTCGGGCGGATAAAAAAGATATAAGAGGATAAAAATGAAATTAAAAATGTTTCTCCAAATATACTTGGGCGGCCGTTAATATACCTGGGCGGCCCTCCCAAGTAAAGTCTATGTGTGGGAAACTGCTCTTTCAGATTCAGATTCCAGAAATGTTTTCTTATGTTGGAATGAAAGACACTAAGTACTGGATGAAGTACTTCTTATTCTGACCCAAAGATACAAAATGGAAGAAAGAGTTAAAACTAAACCCAATCTTGTTAAGCTGTGTTTGATTATATATATATATATATATATATTATTATTTTATTATAATATATATATATTTGCTTCTTTTCCATTTTGCATTTACTTGTACTTTTACTTTCAATACTTAAGTACGTTGCGTTAAAGCGGTTTCTACCTGATATACCTGCTCGTATTACTGA